AGTTCAAAACACTGGTGATCAGGATGCTCACAGAACTGGTTGATTTTAGTCACAAATTAGAGGAACATATGAAGGCTAAACTAATTGAAATGAATGGAAATGCACAGGAAACCAAGAGTAATGGAAAGGAAGTTGGGACTCAAATCAAAGGAGCGGACCAGAAAGAGGAAAAAAATGTCCAAACAGAAAAGGATGAAAAAACGAGAATTCAAAAAAATGAAGAGAGGCTTAGGAACCTTCAGGACATCTTTAAACGTTCCAACATCCGAATTATAGGGGTACCAGAAGGGGAAGAGTCACGAGTGGAAACCTTATTTGAACAAATAATAAAGGAGAACTTCCCCAATCTGGCAAAGGAAATAGACTTCCAGGAAATGCAGGAAGCTCAGAGAGTCCCAAAGCAGTTGGACCCAAGAAGGAACACACCAAGGCACATCATAATTATATTAGCCAAGATTAAAATGAAGGAGAGAATTCTAGAAGCAGCAAGAGATAAGGGGACAATCACCTACAAAGGAGTTCCCAGACTGTCAGCAGATTTCTCAAAAGAGACCTTACAGGCAAGAAGGGGCTGGAAAGAAGTATTCCAAGTCATGAAATCCAAAGACCTACATCCAAGATTGCTCTATCCAGCAAAGCTTTCATTTAGAATGGAAGGACAGATAAAGTGCTTCTCAGATAAGATCAAATTCAAGGAGTTCATCATCACCAAGCCCTTATTATATGAAATGTTAAAGGGACTTACCTAAGAAAAAGAAGATGAAAAATATGAACAGTGAAAGGCAGCAAACTCACAGTTATTAAGAACCACACCTAAAACAAAAGCAAACTAAGAGGACAGCTAGGTCAGGAGCAGAACCATAGAAATGAAGATCACATGGATGGTTAGCAACAGGGGAGTGGGAAAAGGACAAGGGGGGAGAAGGTACAGAAAATAAGTAGCATAGACGGTAGGTAGAAAACTGGTCACTGTGAAAACAGAGTGGCAGGCAGCACCTGGAGTCATGATGCTCAACACTTCTTAAAGGAATAAATGAAGGGTCCCTCTGAGCTCTGTTTCAATCTGTGAGTAACAGCCTTGAGGTATAAAAGGGAGAGGACAAAGGCTGTCAGTTGGCCCCTCATTAATGACATTACCAGCTCTTAAATGATAAACAACTGAGTAGTCAAAAGTTGGAAATAAATGACAAGTAAGGAATTAACTAATGGGTCCAAGTCTGGTCATTTCAACATCTTTTCTTTTTTTTTAAGATTTTACTTATTTATTTTTAGAGAGGAAAGGAAGGCGAGAAGGAGAGAAATATCAATGTGTGGTTGCCTCTCATGAGTCCCTTGCTGGGAACTGGCCTGCTCAACATCTTTTCTTAAATAATCCATCCTTTCATCACCGTTAAATGCACCGATTCATCTTATATATTTGGCTTATGTGGTAATTACTCTTACCTTATTGTTTTATGTTATTTTTAAAAAACATTTTATTTATTTATTTTTAGAGAGAGGGGAAGAAAGAGAAGGAGAGACACACTGACTGTCTGCCTCAAAGGGGACCAAACCCATAACCCAGGCACTTGCCCTGACCAGGAATTGAACCAGTAACTTTTTGCTTTGCAGGATGACACCCAACCAACCCACACCTGTCAAGTCTCACCTCAATATTTTAAACTGTGCTCTTCAACTACTATTCTAGTTATCTTGTATATTTTCTTACCTCCTCTAGTTTCTTTTTCATTCCTACTTGAACCAGAGTGTTTACCTTTTACCTTATTTTGCTTCGTGTTTCATAAAAGCCAAACTTTCTTATGTTTCATTGAGAACAAAACAGATATTTTCTAAAATGTTTTTTTCCATTACTCTAGTAAATTATTTTCAGACTTGGTCTTTTTCTCTACAACAAAGTAATGCTTCTATCCTTTTCTGCTATAGAAAATTTTCTATAGGTCAAATTTGTGTGTGTGTGTGTGTGTGTTCACACATCCTTGGATGGGCTTAGGCATATTCCACTGTAGCATTTATAAGTAACTCATTAATTAATCAGATACTAATTTTTAAGCCATTGGTATTTGTTTATGCTATGATGCACAAGGTGTTTAAAAAACTGTATTACATGAAAAAATTTTTCTTCAAAAAGCCTCTGATTTACTAGAAAAGGTCAGACAGGCATAACAATAATTGTGCAAAGTAGGAAGCCAGGTAGGAGACATGAGTAGACTTCATTATTTCCACCTGTAACATTTTCATAGCCGATACAAGGAAAACATGATGCTGCAACAGGAAGGCCTGACTCTGCACAGCTCAATTCTATTCTAAACTGGCAGCCATTAGAAGTGAAGAGCACTGAAATTATTTCCAATTTAATTTATATTACCTTTTCCTCCCTCTGGAAATATGTAAAAATACTAGCAAACATTAATGTGCAATGTTCCTATGATGCTATAAATTAATGAGTATAGTAAATTTTACATTGTTACATTATTTATTAAAAATGACAACAGCCCATTATAAATCACTGTCGTCACTCAGATATCTCAAAGAAGCAACAAGAATGTTACCAAATGTTAGTGGAAAATAAATGAGATATTATCTTTGGCTAGAATAATTTCTCAAAATGTTTATTTTCCACTGATAAAAACATGTAACAGTGTATTCTTATTTTATACTGGCATACACACATTAACCAATTGCCTCAATTATATATTTATGTGAAAAGACATTTAAAAAACATTATTATGGGGAACTTGTTTTTTAAAATTTGCTTAACTTTAAAAAATAGAGATTTAAAAAACATTATCATAATTTTGATATTAAAAATCCAGACTATGACCAATAGTTTGAAGCTTACCTAATTAAGATGTGATTGAAAATAGAAAAGTGTAACTTCCAAACCCCTAGACGGTATGTCCATTTCACAGATCCCTATCCAGGTCTATGCTGTAACAGAGGCAAAAAGCCGCTAGGTGGCTCTGTCATTTTTAAATAAAACTAAAGTACGCAAAAGATAACGTAGAGTTAAGGAACAAAATATTTCTACTGGACGGAACCCTTAATCGAAGCAAGAAACAAAAGTCTGCAATTATGGCCTCTCAGAATAATTTGAAGCTATTGAATTCAGAATTAGACTTGAAAAACAATCTTGCAAAGCTGCAAAGTATGTATGGGTAAGCAATTTGCTAAAAAAAATGAGGACAGGTATTATACAGTCTTAAGGAAATCAATTACTAGGGGGAAGATGGTTTCATATTTTTTGTAATTTATTGGTATTTATGTTCCCAGCTTTTCTTTTGGACTGTCTTTATTTAGTTTACACCATGGTTTAAGAAAATAATATTAAACTTGGGCAATATAGTAACTCATTAGAAATTACCTTCCAATTTCCTGGGCTATAGTCGTCATCCTTAATAACATTCCAAGAGAATTACAGAACAAAACTTCGTTTGGAGCTATTAGGGAAGGATAGGGAAAATAGCACTGTGCTTATCTAAATTAAGAAACATTTAGAACCTGAAATCAAAATACAATGAAGGCAAACACTATTCCATTCTATAGCATTTGCCAGAACGCAGAAAGAAACTGTGCTTGTCCCCTCTAACCACTTTAGAGTGGACAAATAATTCCTTTCTGGTTCCAGAAAAGATGAGAAAAATAGTTATTTTGAAATGTGATTTTTGAATTAGGTACCAAAATTTTCTTGTTAAGTAGCTCTAGATTTCATTATTTAAAATTATATACAGAAGATGATAATTTCCCCCCAAGTACATGACTAACTTTATCATGGAAATCGATGCAGTGGTGAGAGGTGGGTGGGTTCTAAATTATTAAGTACTCTGAGCTGTCGGACTGTAATGGGCAAATCAAGGGAAAAAACATTTTCCCCTCCTGTCTCCCTTAAAAGAGAATCTCAGACCTGTCATTTACTAAACACATTTAGGGGCAGTTTTAATTTGGAAAAAACAATTTTCTTATTAATGTTCAGAGACAATGACTGCGTGGCATGTAGTGTCGCTACAGGATTTTCCGGGTTTTGTTTGTTTTCCCAGGCAGGAGTAGCATTTGAAAACTTACAAAAGTAGTTTGTAAAATAAAAAAACCCAAAAAACCCTCAAAAACTATTTTACGAAAGTACCATAATTTGTGACCTTATTTTATTTTTTTTAATGAGCTCTTCTGGCACGCAGTTAAACTTGATTTTAAAATGCTAATTTTGAACCCACTTATTTAAATGTCTTTGAAAACGTTCACTTTTCTGTTTTTGAAGACAAAAAAAATCACACCTAAAGCATGCACACAGTAGACATAAAAATGAACAAATACTTCCCGAATGTGAACGAACAAATAATTGTATGTTTTAGAGACATGGTTAGAGAAATTAAAACCGATTTCAGTTCCTCCGATCAGAGTTCCCTAGGAAGGGACAAGCCAAAGATGCCTGCTAATATAAACTACTGTGTATCCCAAAGAGTTGCAAATCGCGTTTATTATGCTCTAGTGGGAGCAGATCAGTTGAGATCAGATGTGAATCTGAATCTCGATCATAAAAGCTGTAGAGACTGGAGGTAGAAAAAACAGTGAGGGGCAGGCAGGTGGCCCAAGCGGCCATCCAAAGTTAAACGCACGGACGTTTGAGAAACATTTGTACTTTTTTGGTTATCATCTCTTTGTTTTAATATTCGTTGTTTTATTTCATTATTGTGCTAAGGCTACGTTAGCTAGGAAGGGGTGGGTGCTCTTCGCTTTAAACCTGGAGGCGCCGGCCTCCCTAGGACTCCGGGCACAGGGGCCCAGCGCAGAGGGGCTGCAGGGGCCGGGCCCGCTCCTCCCCGCGGTGCGGCAGGTGGGGCGTGGCTGCGGCGCGGGGAGCCCGCCCGGGGCCACTGCCCAGCCCAGCCCAGCCCGGTGGGGGGGGGGGGGGTGCCCCTCGTTGAGTATAAGAAGTCGGCTGGCTGATACCTCATGCACAGCAGCCCGTTCCAGTCCCGGACTGAGGGTCGCAGAGCCAGAGCAGAAGCGCCGCAGGGTTGGCTCCCAAAGGGATGCTCTCGCCACAGTGGCGAGATCAACCCCGCTCGCCCCTCGCAGGCGCCGCGCCGCACCCGCCGACCTCCACCGACATGGCTCTGTACTGCGGCGACAACTTCGGCGTGTATTCGCAGTCCGGCCTGCCCCAGCCCGCAGCCGCAACCCCGGGCGCGCAGCCCGCCTCCAGGGCGCCCTACGGGCTGGCGGACTACAGCGCGCCTTCCGCCGCCGCCGCCGCCAACCCCTACCTGTGGCTCAACGGGCCGGGCGTGGGCGCCGCGCCAGCCGCCGCCGCCGCCTACCTGGGCGCCCCGCCGCCCGCGCCGCCCCCGCGGGGCTCAGCCGGGCCCTTCCTGCAGCCGCCGACCACCGCCGGCACCTTCGCCTGCGCTCAGCGGCCCCTCGCTCAGCCTGTGCCCACAGGGTCTGCGGCGCCTGCCACGCCTTCGGCTCCCTGCGACCTGGGCTGGTTGTCCATGGCCAGCCGCGAGGATCTGATGAAGATGGTGCGGCCGCCCTACTCGTACTCCGCACTCATCGCCATGGCCATTCAGAGCGCACCTGAGCGCAAGCTCACCCTCAGCCACATCTACCAGTTCGTGGCCGACAGCTTCCCCTTCTACCAGCGCAGCAAGGCGGGCTGGCAGAACTCCATTCGCCACAACCTGTCGCTCAACGACTGCTTCAAGAAGGTGCCCCGCGACGAGGATGACCCTGGTGAGGACAGCGGGGCAGGTGCTTTTTCCCGGTCGGTGGTAGGGTGGGTGGTCTCCTTGTGGTTGATTTGAGATCCACGTGGAGTCTTCTGGTCCTAACTGGGGCGTGAGAGCCGGTGGAAGGACAACTATCCAAACCTCTTATTGGACAAAGAAGTATCAGAGGACCTTCGGAGCGAGGACTTGTAATGGAGGAGCTCGTTTCTTACGCCTCGTTCCCCCTCTCCCCCTTCTCCCCCACCTGCCCCGAGGCTGGACAGTTAAGAGAAAAAGGGAAAAGCCTGTGTTCTCAATGGGAAGCCACCTCTGCCCCTATTGAAGGGGGAGGGTCAAGTTACAAGGAAGTAGATTAAGAATAAGAACGCAGTGAGCTCACAGATAAGTGTGACTGTAAAGGTATTCGGATGAGCTGAGAGTCCCGTTCCATATCACGGAAGCGGTGGTGAGAGACGAAGAGGAACCTTAGACCCTTTAGTTGTCCATGGATGCACTTCCTCGGGCATCAGGTTCCTGGGAGACTCACTTCGTCCTTCCTAAAACAGATACCTGCCTACCTTGAGAGAGATGATTAGAGGATGAGGGCCTCAGGCATGAGGCAGGGTAGGGGAGGAGGGCAGAGGGATCAGGGAACTTTAGCTTAGACCTGCAAATTGTGGTCTTGGTTCCTTAACTTATTTGAAAATGTAAAAATGAAAACCCCAAATTTGCTTCTTTCTGATCTAAGCGCTGAGATGAGGGAGGGCTGGGTTTCAGTGGACTGCTGTTAGTGATTTCCCTCTACTTGGGAAGTGGAGGTGGAGAAAAGCTGAAAAAACTAGACAGAAACATAATTCTACTTGAGGTTTTCAGAGGGAAACAGGGACAGGGGAGGTGGGAGCAGAATTGTGACAGGAAAAGAAGAGACATAAAATCGTTTGAGTTGCACACTCCAGAGATCCAGAATTTTGTGTAAATTATATAGACACTTTTGTGTACTCATACCTGAAGTCATTCTAAAGCAGTGGCTTCCAAGAAATACAGTACAAGCCACATGTGATTGTAAATTTTCTGGTAGTCACATTAAAAAAGTAAAAAGAAACCAGTGGACTTAATGTTTTTTAAGTAACACAAAATAATTGTTTCAACCTATAACAAATATTTAAAATATTAGTGTGGTACTTTACACTACTTTTTTTGGTACCAGGTCTTCTGTGTGTTTTATACCACATCTCACTTTGGACTAGCTACTTTTCAAGTGCCCAGAAGCCATGTGTGGCTAGTGATTACTAGATAGAACCAGGCATGCAGTTCTGGAATGTGCATCTTCCACATTCAGCCTCTAACCTGAGATGTCACTTAAATTTCATGTACACTCCTCTGGACCTTCTGAAAAGTTTAAGGATCTAGTGTCTTGTCAAAGTGCTTGGTACCAAGGTGGCACAATATAATTATCCTGATAGGTGCATGTATTATTATTGAAATGGTAGTTATATGAATAAAGTTTTTAATGCAACTATTTGCAGAAGATGTGTCTGTAGGAAAAAATGGGTGTGGGGAGTGCATGCCAGTTTGTGGAGGTGATTAGTGAAGAGTATTCCTGGCTCTACTGTTGTGAACTGGAAATACAACAGGGAACTAACCAGTCTGAACTTGTTTACCCAAATGAAAAATGGAGGTGATAATATTGCCTGTCTGCATAGAGCTATGAGGAATAACCCAGGTTATTCATGTAAAGCACTCACTGTAACATAAGTGGTTAAGAATACTCATAAGTGCTGTTGATTGTCTTTACCAAAGGGAAAAGGGCTATTGGGACATAAAATCCTGGAGAATAGATCTTTTTTTTACCTCAATTGTGCTAGTTGAATTGTGAGTGAAACTTTCTAAGCAAGAGACTTAGCATTTCATGCATTAAATGGGGCCCTGATGGCTGATACTTCCCGAGTGGAGGGAAAACTTGAAAGACATGATAACAGATACTGTTTTTACACTGATTCCTGTATGCCAGCTACTATGCAAAAATATTATTTAACCCTTACAGCCAACCAGTGAGGTGGGGACCATTTTTATCTCTGTTTTTATAAATAAATAAATGGAGGTCAGTTTAAGAAGTGCCAGGATTTTACAAAAGTACTCCATTTGGATCTAGAAGGGAAGATGTTGGGTAATTGTAAGTGACTTGTGAATAAAATTAGGTCTTAGAATTTAAGTAGCAGACACTGCCAGGAGGAGGTAAAAGTGGCCAGAATACCTTTGTTCCAGATTTTTCCTTACAGATAAATAAAATCAGGATAACTTTAAACAGTAAATGAGTGAGCATCTTTGTCAAGCATTTAATTGAAAGTCTGCCCTCTTCTTCGAAAACAGAAGCTGAACTGAGTGGGTATAAACATTTCCTTCTCTAACAGTTGTCTTTCTCATTACCATAGGAAAAGGTAATTACTGGACCCTGGATCCAAACTGTGAGAAAATGTTTGACAATGGGAACTTCCGACGGAAGCGAAAGCGCCGCTCTGAGGCCAGTAGCAGCTCCACGGTGGCTGTGGGAACATCAAAATCAGAAGAGGGTCTCTCCGCAGGATTGGGGTCTGGAGTGGGTGGGAAGCCAGAAGGAGACAGCTCCTCAGCTTCGCTAAGGTCTTCCCAGTCCCCAGAGCCTCCGGAGAGCACAAAGAGTACTGTCCCCTCTCCAGGAGGGCCCATGCTCACCTCTACCCCTTGCCTCAATACCTTCTTCAGCAGCCTCAGCACCTTAAGTGTGAGCAGCAACGGGAGCACCCAGCGAGCTATCCCTGGCAGTCACCACCTAGGGATGATCCAGGGGGCCCACCTGCCCTCCAGCAGCACATTCTCCACCAGTGTCATCCCAGAAGCCTCATCAGACACCTTGCAGCTAAATAACAGCAACGGCAGCAGCCAAAGATCTTCCTATTACGGTCCTTTCCCTGCCAGCACCGGTGGGGGGCAGAGCAGTCCCTTCAGCCCTGCTTTCTACAACTTCAGCATGGTCAACAGCCTCATTTACCCCCGGGAGGGCTCTGAGGTATAGAACACAACTTTTTAGAGTTGAACATGCACACCTGAGATCTTGTTTAAAACACAGATGCCAAAGCAGTAGGTCCGGGTAGGTTCTACATTTCTCTGGAGCTCCCAGGTGATCTTCTGGCCCATTGACCAACCATACTTGGGAGTAACTTGGGTATAGTAGATAATTCTTTCTACAACCCAAGAAGATTTTACAGGTTTCTCTGGATAAGGGCCTCTCTGGAGAGAAATACACCCCACTCTGTTTAAGGACAGTACCTAGACCTCTAAGAGGACAGGGACCTTACTTGTTTTGTTTATCACTGTGTATCAGGGTTACAAGCTAAAATGTGTACATGGGCTGGCTGAAACAACTGAATGAAGTTACTGAGTAGGGAAAAGGTAGCAATTGACGATTTGAAGCAGTAGGAAGTGGTTGGGGGCAGCTAGTTGTTTCCTTCCTGCCTGGCAGCATTTTGATTTTCCTAGAAAAGTCAGATCAGTATTTTTATAGCAAACCTCCATTTGAATTCTTGGCCACTAGTTAAAGTTTTACAAATACTATAGTAGGAAACTCCACAGATCCTTAAGCTATATCCAGCTCATGAATCACTTCTGCTTCTGTTCAGTGTCTGAAACATCATAGGTAATAACACCAATAAAACTAACCAAGCCCTGTGTGCCAGGTGCTGTTCTAGATACTTAACTCATTTAGTCCTCAAAATACCTTGGGGAGATAGGTATTATTACAAGCTCTCATTTTCATATGAGGCCGTGAAACTCCAAGATGTTAAGTAACTCAAGGCCACACAAATAGGAAGTTGTGATCCATTATCAGGTCCAGGCAGTCTGGCGTCAGAGCTGGAGCTTGTAACTGTGTTTAGTTCCTGAAAAGGGCATAGTATAGAGAGGGTAGGAATGAGCTAGATCACATTTGACCAAAGATTCCAGTTGAAATAACTATTACTTGAGATGTTGCCCTGAGCAGCAAGGATGGCACCACATCTGCTTTACTTCTGCCATATTCTTGAGGCCTGCGTGACAATTGCCCTAGTTAACTTGACATTCTATCCCTTCTAGCATGTGTGCTGGATTTTTTTTAAAACAAAGCATTAGAATTTTTATTAAAAGTAGTTTTTAAATGGAATTTTTATAATTTTTAAAAAATCATTTGTAGTAATTTTTAAAGAAAATTTAATTTATTTTTAGCACTCCCTTTTACTTCTCAAGAGGTATTTTCATCTGAATAATCGTCGTGGCCACCCTCCCAGTACCCAGCTGGGTACAAGGCAGATACTGAATCACTGCTTAACTCTAGTTGATTTTATTTGAACAATGTTATTTTAAGATGAAGGTCTTCCTATGAATTGCCTTTGTACCATATTGTTGGTTTGGGGTTTTAATTTTTTTTAAAGAAACACAAGTACATTGTAAAAAAATGTTTAACTTTTTCTATGTATTTTTTGGAACGACAGCATTACTCTTAAATTTTTATTTTGAAATACAGAAAACTATTTTTTAAAAGTGTGTTGAGGTATAAGTAACATCACCGTTATTGTTTAAATATTATGAACAAACAGGCATAGCTGGTTTTCTTGTGCTTTTCAGAGGTTGCATTTTTTTACAAATTGCAGGCAAAACCCTCCATCAGCAAAAAGGATGATGACTTGCTTTGTTGTGATACTTGCTTTACGGTGATGGTCTAGCACCGAACCTGCAATGTGGCCAAAGTGTGCCTATAGAAAGATAACCAAAGAGACTACCTACTCTCCTACTGTGTGTACAAAAATCCAGTTTCAGTGGATATTCCGTGTGAGAAATCACTAACTTTTATAAATATTAGTTCTAACACAGTTCTATATTTGTAAAATAATTTATAATGTGAACTGAGACAAAAATTTCCCCAAAGAAAGTACACTGTGTACTTTCATGTGAGAATCACATGAAATAAACCCAAATTGGGATGACTTCTGGCCATTTTTTAGCATTACTGTTTTTCTGTCTCCAGTTTCTCCTAAAAGGTTAGACAAGTGAATGGCACGACACCAGCGCCACTCCAGGGACTTTGTGTCGAGGGGGAGGGATAGATTTTTTGTGTTCTACCCACCCACATCTGAAAGGGCTCGAATGAAGCAGTTACTCTTTGGGGAGGTTCTGGAGGCCTATGAGGATTTTACTACTGAGTGATATTTTGTGTCACTTAAAGTGAGATTCAGTGCATTAGATGATGTCTGTTGTAGGAAGAAATGTGCTGGAAAAGTTTCACCAGCTGGCAACACTTCTCAGAGCCCTGGGTCCTCCAGGGGGCTACAGGCAGCCCATCGTTTCCAGGCAAATAGCTAGAAAACTTGAATGTGGCCTCATCTGGAAGAAATCTGAGAGATGAGGTTTTGGACTAGGGTTTCTGAGCATCAGCACTATTGATATTTGGGGCTACATAATTTTGTTGAAGGGGTGGCCCTTTGCATCACAGGATGTTTAACAGCAACTCTGTACCCCTGGCCCTAGCCCTATATGACAACCAAGACTATCTCCAAACATTGCCAGATATCCCCTGGGGGACAAAAGTAGCCCTGGTTGAGAACCACTGATTTAAACCAACACCCACAATTTGCCAGTGTGGAAAGAAAGCTCCCTTCCCCATAAAAAGTCCTAAATCTTAGGGCTAGTAGTTGAGCCCTGAATGAATTAGACCTCTGGGTGTGTATAGGACAGTGTTCCATGAGGTGCCTTTTCTCCTAAGGAGAACCAGTTGTGAGCAGGTACAACCCAGTAGTAGTAATACCCAGTAATAGATATTTCTCAGAACTGGTATCTACTATCCGTATTATTATTTGGGGGCTGAAGTGGGTGGGGAGGGATACAGGCATAGGGAAGACACAGTAAAAGAACATGACTAACCTGTATTTGTAAGTATCTAGATCCCAGTAGTTAATGGATATTAAATGCCAGAATATCATCAGTATTTATGAGAACAGAGACAATGAGAATAATCTGCTTCTGGTCTGAACAACAGCTGCAAAGGGCAGCAGGGTGGCTTGGACTACACTCCTAAGGCTGAAGAAGCTGTTCCCTCTTCGTAGAGAACTACCTCCTGCTGGGCATAGTAATCCTATGGGAAAGGGACTAAGCTGCCTGTGCCTGTGGTATTCTCAGGTCAAAGTCTGCATCTGCTTTTCAGCTGGGAACCAAGTCAGAAATTATGGACCTGAGCTAAATTTCACTTTGCATTATTTGCAACAGTGCCGAGGAAAACATGTGGACCCCGTGGACCCGCAGCATATTGTTAAGCACTCTTGCTCTAGGGTTTCCCTGGGGACTAAAGCCTGAAGTCAAATTGCAGCCTTTGGCTGAGGCCAATTAGGCACATTTATAACTTAAAGCGCCTGTCTTCCACACTTCTAGGGCCTACTGTACCATTCAGAATAAGGGACAAAGGATAGTTTGAAAAACTAATAAGCAGTTTTCAGGTTTTCTTTTTAATACTTTTAGATCCTTTCATTCCATTCTTAAAGTGGATGGAAAAAGGCTTTGAAAACTGTGCTTTTGTACCCCAACTCATCCCTGAGGCCCCAACAGCACTTACAAGTTCCTCCTAGGGCAAACAGGGCCAGCCAAGCTTTGGCCACAAGGAATGTCACTAAACTTTGGAAGAAACTCCAAAAATGTGTTTCATTCCCTTCCTGTCTGAGATTCCTAGAATTGGAAAGAGTCTTAAGTCTTTAGCTTCTAACTGGGTCTTGTTTTCTTCAGATGCTCTAGTAGCTGAAACCAACAAGTTGCTAATGAAAAAAAGTTTGTGGTGGTTTCTAGGGATTTGCTGGTTGCTGGGTAGAGACCCAGTGGGCCAACATGGCTTTGCCTTTTGTTATGGAAAGCAGTCAGCTGGGGTGGGTGGCTAGGCGGCTGGCACCACTGAAGAGAGGAGTTTCCAGTTAGACTTGAAAACAAAAAAGACCAGGTAGCTATTGAATTCCTCTGAGCTTTCTTATTCATGAGGTCAGGGTATCACCACCAAAACCCTTGGAGGCCTAGAGAGTAGCCCTTTATCATTTAAAAAAGAGAACATTACAATAACAATCACTTCTTGGATGCCGGGCACTATCCTAAAGTAAGTAAAATAGCTATATTAAGCACCCTTGGTGTACTTAAACTCCTAAGTATATACTGTTTTTATTCATTTCACCAAAGAGAATACTGCAGCCTAGGGCATTTGTGTAACCAAGCCCTTGACAAAAATCGAAGTGGTTGTTGCAAGTAAGTGGTACAACTAGGATTCAAAATCAGGCTATCCAATATCAGAAGCTAACTGTCCTGTATCTACAATACTGCCTCTCCATTGTGGAGATGAAAGGAGAGGCACAGAGAGGCTATGTGACCTGTCCAAGGCCACACAGCTTGCTGGTTGTATATTTGGGCCTAGATCCCAGGCTTCTGCCCTGCTGTTCCCCTGCAGTGTTCCTTCAGGCGTTTTCTTTGTGTGCTCCCTGTTGTCTTTGCGTCCGGGGCTCCTTTTCCAGGACACAGAAAGGTAAGCAGTGGGGAGGAATGTCACTTTTCTTTGAAATGTTCTTTTCCACAGGATCAGCCTGCACTCAGGTCAGGGGCCAGATTTAAGGCTCTGAAGTTACTGAGGGAAGCCAGAGTTTGGGGACACTGGCTTGGAACCTTGGACTTCCATAGGAAATTTATCATTTGCTCAGCAAATCCCTTTCACTCATTAGGCCCTGTGCTGGGGGTATCGAGCTGATCTGAGGCCTGGAACAACTATGCATAGGGTAGGGAGGATCCACAGGGTTTAAGTGGGCATCCCCCAACTGGCTGCCAGCCTCTGATGAGGAAAATAGGCTGGTTTCACCTGGAAGAGTGGCAGGCAGCTCTACCCCTCCTTGTAGCTTCACTCCTCTTTCTTGTGTCTGGTGTTAGCAGGACACAAGGACCTGGACTGACATTACTCAAAGCTGGAATAACAGACACGATAAAGTACCAGAGGTTTAGTGGAGGTCTCTTTGAGGCCTAGGTCCTTGGTGCATGAGTGGAGTCCTTTCAGTCCCCTCCAGCTCTGGCTGGGCGCGGCCG